CATCCACATCTTCATCCACATCCACATCTACATCCACATCTTCATCCACATCTATCCTAGTGTTAGAAATACACAGTTTGATATAAGTGAGATCTCTGACACCAGCAGTGGTTTAAATACATAGTTTGTTTGATATAAGTCAGATCTCTGCACATTCCAAGGACACCAGGAGGGGTTTGTGGCCCAAGAACCTGAGGGAGTGAATTGGGCTCCACCTGGGGATCCCAACATGGAGCAGGATTGATGGCCCAAGATCAGACCCAACAAAGCCCCTTCTGTCCTGCTGCTCAGGGCAGGATGACACCAGTGGGTTTGTTAATTGGGAAGGCAGCCAAGGGGGAAGAAAGGTCAAATTTTTACCTTAAAAGGTAAAAAGTGACCTGCTAGAATGGGATGTGTGAGCAGGGGTGGGAAACTTACAGGATCATTGGAAGCGTCGGATGGGCTGGAAACCCTGGAGTGCCCAGGGAGTGGGGAACCAGGGGAGGGAACTTTGGGAATAGGGAATAGAAACTGTTATTCACCTGCCTATGGGTGTGCCTGCTTGTTTAGGTCACCCATTCCTGCAAGAATGTAAATAAACTGCTTTGCTGCAGGGTCTGGGTGGGCCTGTTCATTGGCACCACAAGCGTTTCTCACAGAAGTGCACAGAACTGCACCTAAAGCCTGGTGGCTCCAGGACCTCTGCCTGGCTCCAGCTGTCCCGCTGGCATCCAGCTCAAACACCAAACTCATCTTCCTTGCTCATGGTCTCACTTTGCCCAGACCTGTAGTCCAAACGCTGCTGCATCCTGGCTCAGCCCCAGCAGGTGAGATGAGCCTGTGCAGCCTCTGCAGAGAGTGCCCTGCTTGCTGGGAACACAGCTGGTTTTGCTCTGTGCTTGAAAACTTGCCTTTGGTCTGAAGTGCCACCAGCTGGTTATTGCTCTTGGAAAAGCAGTCATTTTTGTGGAAACCTGTAGGTCCAAACTGAGAGGTTAAAATGCTGTAACCAGAATCCTGTGGGAATTGGTAAAAGTGTCTGTGGCAAAAGTTGCTCTGTGTGTTTTGGTGTTGTGATGCTAATAGGTTTTCCTACTCTCCTGTTTTTTTTCTTTCCAGGCCTCTGCAGCTCTTGCCAGAAAGAAAGCAAAAGAGTTGAACAAAGACATCATAACCTTTTGGCATAAGAAGAAAACAAGTAAGTCTGTGTTTCCAGGTGGGATGACTGGGGGACACATGACATGGCATCTGCTCTGCTTGTGTTTCCTGGTGTGCTGAGAGTGGTACAAAGATGATCTCCACGCTCGGGATGTTACAGCCCCAGAAGTGCAGTGATTCTCTTTGGGTTTTGCTGGTCAGGCTGTTTGGTGCACTCAGCTTCTGGGAGTACTGCTTTACAGAAGCACAAAAAAAGGTGCTCTGCATTTTATGTGACATCCCCGCTTGCCCTGCCTGTGGCAGAGGCTAGTAGTGAATGTGCAGGGGAAGGACAAAAACAGGATAAAGCATGTCATTGCTTCCAGAATAACTTCTTAGCCTTTAACAGCACATGGTTCAGTAGCCCTGGCTGCCAGCAGGGTTGTCTTACCCCTTGGAGAATTTTCTTTTGTGAAGTTGCTTTTGTGACTGTGTGAACTTCCAGCCCCCACACAGTACTGCTCTTTGGTGCTGAGGGGAATCTTCAGTGACTGGCTGCCAGTCACAGCTGGAAATTGCACTGCTTCTTTCTTAAATTCCTGTTGTCTAAAACATTTATCTTGATCTGAACCAAAATGTTGTTTCAGACATATGAAAAAGCAGAAGACACTTGGAATGACAGTGTAGTTTTACAAGAGAATCTAGAAATCACTCATGCAGCCACACAAGGGGAACATGGTGATGTTAACTTTATGGTCTTGTCTAGAAGTAGCATGTTATTTGGGGACATAAGAAAACCCACTTTTAACTGCCTTCAGAGCATGGATTGGGATGTGGCCTTTCAGGAGTGTGTCCTGAGAGCCGAGTTCTGCATATCAACAGTTACTGCTTGAACCAAAAAGAGCAACCTAGAGAGAACTGAGCTTAGAAACTGGAAACCTGGATTCCAGACCTAGTCTGGAACAAGGGCAGGGTGAATGATGGCACTTCTCCAGCTTTGGGGAATGCTTGAATTGTGGAGTGTTTCCCTTTAGCCTCATGAATGCTGTGCCTGTACCTCAGAGGCCCTGGCCTGGAGATGCACTTCAGCAGGTGAAGGGTTCCCCACAGCTTTCACCAGCTCACCCTCCAGAAAATCAACAGCTGCAGAGTTGCCTTGCTAAGAATCAAAATCTTGCAGCAGCAGCTGCAGGGCTGCCTGGTCACTGCTGTCATTTCATTGTGCTGGTAGGTCTGTAGAAATGTGGATGGCAGTAATAACTGAAACAACTGATCTGAGAGGGTTTAAGAAATCCAACTGGTTGGAAGTTTGTTCCTGGGGGAAGAAATTCGTCCTTTCTGGCGAGTGTAGATGTAACTCTTGAGAAGGCATGCCAAGCTAAGCTTAGGGGTGTGAAATTAATAACTAAAATGCTTCAGTAGAAGCACTGAGAATTGTGGCTTACATAGGTGAAATGGATTTCATATTCTGTAGAGAGTTTTGACTTGTGGATTTTATCTCAAACCTGAGAGAACTGAAATCTGGATGGTGATCAGGCTTCATTTACTGACAGTCCACTGACAAATTACAGTTATTGCCAAGTGAAATTTTAATTAAAAATGCTTAATCTTTATAGAACAGTGAAGCTGACTAGCATTTGGTAGATTTACTTGGTACAGCATCTAGTGCCAGTTGTCATGGGACTTTTGCATCTGTGTGCAAAACTGTGACTCTTAGATTTGTTTTCTAATAGCATTTTTTTAAGCAAGCTGCCAACCACCACTCCCATGGGGGAGGAAGAGTTGTTGCCTAAACAGTTTGACAAGTACCTGGCTTCATGTTTCTATGTCACTTCAGGTCCAGCAAAAAGAGAATTTCCATCCAAGGAGAAGAAAGCAGGTGAAGATGAAGGAAGGCAAAGCAATGAAGAGCCAAACTATCAGCATTCCCCTCTTCGAAAGCCCTTAATAAGATCCTCTGCCAGCAGTGTCATGCCTGGAAAAAGGTACATCTACTGCTCTGAGAATCCACCTGGCAGGAAACATGATGGATGGGGCAAAACATGATTAGGGTGTGCCCAACAGCCATATTTTTCTTGAGGAGTGTGCTGCTCTTGTCTCTTCTGGCATGCTTTTGTTTCACGTGTGGCTTTTTGGCTGGTTTGTAAGCTGACAGACTTTGTCAGGAAGGTACTTCTAGCTACGTGGGAAGGCCTTTTACTTTTTTTGGTCAGCATATTTGTCTCTGAATGTTTTGTTTGTAACAGTGCAGAGCCAAATAGCAGCTACCAGTCATGACACCCCTCTCTCAGTATGGTGAGAGGGGCTTTTGAAGGGAGCAGGTGCGTTTGCAGGCAGTTACAGTTCTGTGGAATGAGAATCCCCTTTTCAGAGCGAATCTGGATCATTGTCTTGTCTCACTTCAAGGGAATGGTCTTTGCACAGGACTCTTCCCATGTCGTGTCAGTCACTGAAGTGGTGGGGTTCTCATCTTGTGGTGCCTCAATGGTGTGTCTGGTCTGACAGGAGCCACCTGGTGTGCCCAGTCACAGAGGGATGAAGTCAGTAATGCGTTGTGAAGGAGTCCATGTGCCCTGATTGAAAAAGTGTCTTCGTATCTGGGCCCTGTGAAATCTTTTCACCTCTGTTACTACAGAAAGCATTCAGGCTTCTCACACCACATACTCTTCTAAACAAAGAGCTGTGAGCTGATTAGGGCCAGGCACGTGCTGCAGTGTCACTAATGAAAATCCTCTACTTGTAGCTCTCAGGCAAAGAAGCCTGGTCTTCGAAAAGCGCTGCAGTTTGAAGCAGATCTGTTTGATCCTGGCCCTGAAGGGCAGAGTTCGGAGGCCTTGGGAGTTTCTCTGTCATCTCTTAGTAACCTGGTAGGATTAGTGGCTGAGACATCAGAAGAGAGATACCGACTTCTGGACCAAAGGGACAAGATCATGCGACAAGGTAACGCCACGAGCCGAGGAGCGTCACGTTGGCTTCTCTGCTGGGAAGGAAGGAAGGAAGGAAGGAAGGAAGGAAGGAAGGAAGAAGTTTTTGGTGTCAGTGGCAAAGCTGTTTTGATATTACAGAAGTGGCTTCAAGGAGAGAGTTTCATATGGAGCAGCCTGTGGGATGCTCTTTACTGTGAGGGAGAGTTGTATGCATTAACTTCTTGTAGAACACACAAATCTGTTATACTTGTCTCACATGGCTATTTCTTGTGCCAAGTGAATAGCAGACTGTTCATCTTCTGTGAAGGAGCCATGTGGAGAGGTTTGCATCCCTGCAGGCTCTTCTAAGGAAGCCACCCAAAACCCAGTGGTGTTTCTCCAAACTATGACCAAGTTGGTCATTATTTTGAGAAATGGTCCTTTGTTCCACAGTGTTGGATTGCAAACCCTTCCATCCTTGTTCTCGCCATTTCAAGGCTGATGCTACTTTTTATTTAAGACATTATTTTTAATATTGACAAACAAATTTCTCAGCCACTTGGTGTGAAACTGGAAAATGGCTCACACTTAGTTGAGACTCAAAACAAGATAGGCAAAACATGGTATCTTCTAGAAAATTCAATCTTTTCAGCAGAACTCTCGGTATCCAGGTGGGACGGTAGGAGAAGCTTCACCAAAGGAGTGATGCAGCCCTGAGACAGGCTCCAGTGAGGAGGGAACCCCGTCCTTGCATTTCTGACCCTGCCAGGGTGTGGATACAGCCTTGCTCTGAGTAGAAGTAGGATGGGAATCTCTAGAGACCTTTTTCCTAACAGATTTTTTTGGTGAACTCTTGCCCTAGCAATGTACTTCTTGATGTCCCTTGGCCAATGTACAGACTCCAGCTGAGGCATCTGTCATCCTGAGGGCTGTGTTCCACACCAGGGTAATGTCATGAGACAGAAAAATGAAAGATGCTTAGTGTTTGTTCAGTTTTATTTTCTCTTTTTAGCTCGAATAAAAAGAACTGATCTTGGCAAAGCTAAAACTGTTGTTGGCACCTGCCCGGACATGTGCCCGGAAAAGGAGCGCTACATGAGGGAGACCAGGAACCAGCTCAGTATCTTTGAGGTGCTTCTGGGATCTGACAAGGTATGACCCAGAGAGCTGGGATTCTTTACCCTGTGGAGGAGAAGGCTGAGGGGAAACCTTATTAAGGCCTGTATGATCTAAAGGGTGGTTGCAAGGAGTAGTTCCCGGTGACAGGACAAGGGGCAACAGGCATAAGCTGGAATGTGAGAAGTTCCACTGAAATATGAAGAGAAACTTCTTTAGGGTGAGGGTGACAGAGCCCTGGGACAGGCTGCCCAGGGAGGCTGTGGAGTCTCCTTCTCTGGAGGTATTCAGGACCCCCCTGGATGCAGTCCTGAGTAATGTGCTCCAGGTGATCCTGCTTTAGGAAGGGAGTTGGGCTGGATGATTTCTAGAGGTCCCTTCCAACTCTGGCAGTTCTGTCGTTCCGTGACCCCTCGGTCACAGGGTTCATGCTTGTGAAAAAAATCTGTTGGCCATTTCATTAATGCCTTTAAATGCCCTGTTGTAAAACAAAGAAGGCAAGAAAATTCCTTATTTGCTCTAAGTGGCATCTTTTATTTAGCTACAGATGGACCTTTAGAACAACCCCTCTAAAGTGATAGGGCAGCAGTATAGACTGGAAGGATTCGAGTTTGAGACTGCCAAGGCAACCCCTGGGGTCCTGTCATAAAAGAAAACAAGATATATTTGCTATCACAGTGCAGTGGTTGTGGGCTCTTAGTGTGAGCAGTGGAGAAATTACTTCAGTGCTCCTGACTAAAGGCAGGGATGGGCTGAAATCCTCTGTACTCCTGGGAAGTTGAACAGGCTCCTTTGACGTTTCTCCACCTTTTGCAGGTAGACCATGTAGCAGCAGTCAAGGAATACAGCAGGTCTTCAGCAGATCAGGAGGAACCTTTGCCCCATGAATTGAGACCCTCTGAGGTGTTGAGCATGACCATGGACTATTTGGTGACAAACATTATGGATCAGGGAGAAGGAAACTACCGAGAGTGGTACGACTTTGTCTGGAACAGAACTCGTGGAATACGAAAGGTGAGCCCTGGCAGGTGGAGGTGTTTGTTGGTGACAGAAAGGCTGTAACAGTGAAGCAAAAAGGAATGCAATTTTCCAAAGGGATATGCCTTGTAAAAACCCATCCAATGCTTTCTGTGTCATCCTGGTTAGGATATAACCCAGCAACATCTGTGCAACCCCCTGATGGTGTCTCTGATCGAGAAGTGCACTCGCTTCCACATCCACTGTGCTCACCACCTGTGTGAGGAGCCCATGTCCTCCTTTGATGCCAAAATCAACAACGAGAACATGACAAAATGCCTGCAGAGCTTGAAGGAGATGTATCAGGACCTGGCTAACAAGGGGATTTACTGCAACAGTGAGGCAGAGTTCAGAGGTTATAACGTCTTGCTCAACCTCAACAAGGGTGATATTCTCAGGTGGGAACAACAGATACCACTTGTTTTCTCTCTCTGCCTTTGGGAGGAATTGAGGATTAAGCCCAGGCAAACTGGAATGAGGAGTTGAGTTGCAAAGTGGTTTTGGTCAAGGAAAGTGTGCTGTAGTTGTGTTTTATTGAAGTTTTTCAGTCAGTCATTGTAAAATTTTCTCTTAAGAAAAAAAAAAAGCAGCTTTGCTTCATTTCCCTGGGTAATTCACTAAAACTCCTGCAGATAGTAAAAAAGACCCAACAAAAACCAAGTCACTTCTTCACTAATCTCAAGCAAGGATTTTTTTTTTTCCTCTTCCCAGAGAGGAATCCAAGCTTTACTGCTTTATCTGCTGTTTTGTGGGAAGCCATACTTGGCTTTGCTGGCCAATGTCTTACCTGCCTTCCTCTCTAGATGTAGGACCTAAATAACAGCACACTAATAATGCAGGCATCTTTAAAAGACTATAATGCAGCAAATATGAGGTTGGGCAAGAGTTGCATGTCCTGATTAAAGCTCATCATTTCCATTCTGTTTTGTTACAGGTTGCTGCTGATTTGTGATCATTAAGACTGAAGAAAAAGGTTTATCTCTGTCTTTTGTTTCCACAGGGAAGTACAGCAGTTTCGTCCAGAGGTTAGAAACTCTCCTGAAGTTAGATTTGCAGTTCAAGCTTTTGCTGCACTAAACAGCAACAACTTTGTCAGGTTTTTCAAGCTGGTGCAAGCTGCCTCCTATCTGAATGCCTGTCTCTTACACTGTTACTTCAACCAGGTGAGAAAAAGGCAGATGGATGTTTTTTCAAGGGACTGTTGGGAGGAAATCTTAGAGAGCAGAAACCTTGGTAGATATTTAACCTTAAAAATAGTCCTTTCTTGTTTTTAAAAAGCTGTGTTTAAAAGCTTATTACAAGTTTCCTGCCATGGTATTAAGGCAAATATTAACATGCTCTTTGCAGCTTTTTTTTTTTCCCCATTACTGTGTACAAATACATATTATTTCCCCTGAAAATCATTGGGAAGCAGGGAATCTGGCCTGAGACTTTCTCAAAGGAAAGATCAACCTGCAGTCTCAGAAGCCTTTGCAAGCTTTTTCTTCTGCACAAGAATCACAAAGGGCTGTGCCCAAAAGGAGCAGCACCAAATAGAAGCAGAAACTAGAAAGCAAGTGCATAGAAGTTAAAACTAAAGTTAAATCTGGTTGTTTGTTGTGGCTATTTGATGACAAAGTACTGATTTCTTTTAAACATGATTTTAAACATTGCACTATTTTGGGGTCTCTAACTTAGTAGTGACCTGGTTCTTGCTTTTGTCTTCCCCCAGATCCGTAAAGATGCCCTCAAGTCTCTCAACATTGCCTACACTGTCAGCACCCAGAGGTGCACAGCCTTTCCCCTGGACCACCTGGTTCGCATGTTGCTGTTCAGAGACTGTGAGGAAGCAGCTGATTTCATCAGTTATTATGGCCTGAGTGTATCTGATGGGTGAGTGTGAGGAAGGGGCTGTGCCCTGAGGTGCCTGTTGGGGTTAGAACAGTGTTGGGTGAGTGTTAATGTGGGTCCTGGAATGTGGAGCCAGAAAAAGAAAAGAGCAGGTGAAGGGTGAGGAGGGGCTGGGCTCTGTAGGCAGAGACCTACAGGGTAATGGTGGAGGCAGATTTTAATAATGTCTGCTACTTTTCCTGCTGTAATAGGCATGGTTCTTTAATTTTGCATCTTTCCCTTGAGAAATGGGGTTTGTGTCCTTGTAACTACGTTGACTTTCCCCAGAAGCTTTTTCTGCACTTGGACTTTTTGTTTCCCTGGTTTGGTGAGGTGATGAGGGATTTCAAGAGTTAAAAAAAATCCCTTTGGCCTTCTGGAAGGTGGTGGAAAATGAGAGAAACGTTTCCCCCAAAAGAGACACTGCATATTGAGCTCTGTCTCCAGTGGACTCCAGGGACTTCCTCCCTAGAAAGAAACATGGATAACCACAATAGAAAAAAACAACAACAAAGCTAAGTCCTTACGTTGCAGTTGAATTGTAGTAAGTTGCAGCTCTGCAGGAAAGGAGGATGCAGGTCCCTCAGGAAGCTGGCATTGTGGTGATACACGTAGGGCAGGACAGAGCTGAGCAGTGTAGAGCAGTTTGTAGAGAGTATGAGAGGCCAGTGGTTTGCAGATGAGAGTGTCTACTGTGGAAATAGTACACACACTGGAAGGTGTGCTTATACAGACTTGCAGTCTCAGGAGACTGGAGAAGACAAAAAGCTTGGGCATGCCAGTTAGAGTGCTCTATTTCCTGCTAACCTTCTGGTTTGAGATAATAAACTAGCCAGGCTACAGGTGCCAAGATTGGAAGAAAGCTGCAGCTTTTAAAATTACTTCTGTGGATGGTCTTGGCATCTGTTGTGGGGTGTAGTCTAGGCACAGCCTATGTGGGTTATACAGTGGGTAAAGGTTGAAAGGAGAAAGAGACAAGATTGTCCATGAAGGTTCCCAGAAATGTTGGTACAGCTTGTGCTGGGAGGAGGGCTGTGAGGACTGTGCTTGCTGCCTTCCCTGCTCTGCTTCCAGCCAAGGATCAAGATCCAGCCTACGAGGTGTAATCCTGAGGTCCAGGACCTGTCTTGCTGTGTCCCTCCAAGCTGTCCAACAGAGACCTGCTGGAACTTTGAGGACACACTCCTGCTTTGTTTCGTTCTGCAGCGCTTACGTGGAGCTGAATTCCTGGAGCCGGACGGGCTGCCCAAGCCCCACAGGTCCCTGTTTGTCAGCCAGAAGCTGATGGTCTCCGTGGGGGAAGTTGTGAATGGTGGGCCCTTGCCCCCCATGCCTCACCACGTGCCTGTGTCCAGCTTCAATGCACAGAACAAGTACACGGGTGGCAGCACCTCTATGGATCAAGCTAGCAGCAGCCAAAAAGCCAGCGTGGAAGCAACAGGTAAGAGCAAGCAGGCATCTGGGACACAGCCCAGGAACACTCTGCTGGGTCAGCTCTGCAGGACATTCTGTTTAACAAAGCAGTAACAGTTCTTGGCTCCTACAGGCTGGAATTGCATGGAAATTTGGGTGTCCTGAAAGCATGTTTGAATGTAGGTGTACATATAGATCTGTAAAAGCTAAGCTGCAAACTGAGTCATAAGGTGTGTTTCCCAACACAGGAAACACACTAATGGGAACAAGCACAGCTTTGCCAGCAGATGTGAAATAGCCAGATGTTTGGCTGCTTCAGACATCCAGCTTCCTTCCCTGGATGTGGGCAGACTTTGTACTGCAGCTCTGTTCCTACTCTGTGTACAGTCAATGTTTCTTGAGTCAGCTGAGCGTGTGTTTTCTTTGTCCTGAAAGTCTAGATATTTTGCAGTTATTCAGGAATGGTGTGCCAGGTGCTGGGGGTACTGGGCTGAAAACAGTTGAGTTACTGGTTATGGTACCAATACTTGGTATTGGAGGTAATGTGCGATGACATTTTTGAATGGTTTATATAAAATGTTCCTAAATATACATTAGTTTCTGTGATAGAATTATATTTTCATCTTCAAGGCAGCAAGCTTCAGCTATGGATTCATTTTATGAGCTGATAGGACTTATCAGACAAGTCAGCTTTGGAAGAGAAGAACAGTTCTGCTTCTATTTGTGGCTGAACTGGCTCCCTTGTTTTTTCTCTTCCTCTGTCCCCAGAAGGAAGAGTGGAAAGCAAAGGTGTGGATTTGGATGCTGCAGCAGTAAGAGTCCAGCCCCCAGCTCATCTTCTGCCCTCACTCTTACCCCGTCAGCTTGTACCCATGCCTCCTGCACAGGCAGTCTCCCAACCTGCTGGAGAACCTGAGCCTCTCCCTTCAAAGCCTCAGCCTGTCTACACAGACACAGTAAGGAAATTTAAAACCATCATGAAGTGGTTGGGAAAGATCTATGAAATATAATAAAAGGTAACTGAGTTCCTAAGTTGTTTTAGTTTTCCAGAATCTGCATGTGTAATGTAGAGTCGCAAGGAAACACTTCCTGCCTCAGTGCTTTGGATACTTTGGGAAATTGTTTCCTCAAACTGTTCTGAAAAGAGAAAGTCTTGAGTGATTTCAGAGGCCAGCCTGCAGTGTCAGTGCTTGCTCCAGCTCCTTCACAGGATAAACAGTCCTGTCTGTTGAGCATTGATTTGAGAAAACTCTTAAGAAGGGAAGAAGAAAGTGATTATCTTTCACTTAGTAGGTAAACTTTGCTTTAGTGCATCATAGTGAGAAATCTTTCACTTTGTAGGTAAACTTTGCTTTAGTGCATCATAGTGAGCTGTTTTTAATGGCACTTCAGACATGACCAAGTTTCTTGTTCTGGATACATGATTATTAATGTTGGGTCTTGACTGGTAGCCCATGTATCCCTGCAGTTCCCCTTGTTCTCCATCCCACAGGTGTTTAGATGTGTTGCACTGATGCTGAGCCCATGTCTGAGTGTCTCATTGCTCTGGGAAGTGTGGCTGCTGTGTTCTGCCTACATGTGGCTGCATTTCAGAGGAGATAAGGCCTGGTCATTTGGAATTAAATAGGTTAGCACTTGGAGAGCAAGGGGAACTCTAGGAGTCTCCAGTACAGAAATAGGAATCTCTCTCCAAATTTACCTTTCTTAGCTGTTGTTTCCTGACTTGGCTTGCCCATAAAATACAGCAAGGGCTGCTTTTGTTTCTGGGCTGTTGGTAATTAACCTTGTAGGTAGTCTAAAATGTCCAGGCTGGTTGCTGGCTGGGTTTGTAAGTAGAAATACAGGTGATGTTCCCAGTTACAGTCAGGTAAACAAGTCTGAAAGGCCTCACTCCCAGGTCACTTGTGTGCCCAGGCCATCCTGAGCACAACCACATCTTGCTTCACCTGCTTCCTCTGCTGTGCTGCAGGACATGGCCGAGGTGGTGGATGATCTTGTGCTCGAGGTCCTCAAAGGAGAGTGCAGAGAAGTTGGCAGAGCAGGAGTGGCCTATGTGACAGCTGCCCTCTGGTAAGAGCATGTTCTGCTGGTGCTCGGGGGGGTCTGTCATCACAGCAGCACCACCACCATGGTCATCAAACTGAGTGGGGCAAGGTCTGTGGTAGAGATGGTCTTGCTTTTGACCTTTCTTGAGGTGTCTGCTACCCCTCTGTCACACACCAGCCAGGCTGATAAAAAGCTGAGCACAGGCCTCTGTAAACCTTGTCTTGCACGATGCTCTCACCCCTGCCACAAGAAACCTGTGTTGTGGAAGGGGCCCAAAGGGGGACAAGAGAAGTCAGTCCAGATTTGGCTGCTTCTGTGCCTGTTGGTAGAGCCATAGATGTGGGTTTGTGACCACACAAGTGTTTTCATTATGGCTGACATGGTGCAGTGTCAGGGCCTTCCCTGTTTCCCACTCTGCCCTCCTGTGAATAGACTGGGGGGTGTGCCAGAGGCTGGGAGGGGACACAGGTGGGACAGGTGACCCAGACTGACAAAAGTCCATGGTCAGCAATAAAACTGGGTTAGAGGAAGAAGAACGTGGGGTTTTCTAGCTTCTAGGGTGGCTATTCATTGGAACCTCTCTGGGCTCTAGTCTGGCAAAGGAGATGCTGTCTGACTTTCTTTGCTTGGTGGGGATGTTACTGTGCTTTATTTCTTTATTCTGCTTCACCTATTACATCCCTTTATCTTTGTGAGTTTTCTTGCTCTAGATCTTCTAGATCTGTTTTCTCCCCTATCCCCATGTGGTGAGGGGAGGGAGCCAGCAGCAGTGAGGGGGCTCGGCTGGTGGCCGAGTCAGCCCGGCAGGGCAGAGCAAGGGTGTGCTTGAGGAAAGCCCACACCTCAGGCTTTGAATGAAGACTTCCTGGCTTTGAGAAGGGCATTGCTATTTCTGCACAGCACCTCGGAGGCTGCCGTGGAGGAACTGGTGACTGAGCTGGTGGAAGAGATCCTGAGGCAGGTGGCTGGGAGGGTGCTCAGCGCCGAGAGGGAGCGCGCCCGGGAGGAGAAGCGCCGAGTGGAGGAGGAGAGGTGAGAGGCTGCTGCTGCTGCTGGGGGCAGGGGGTGCTCTGTGCTGCTGCTGCTGGGGGCAGGGGGTGCTCTGTGCTGCTGCTGCTGGGGGCAGGGGGTGCTCTGTGCTACTGCTGGGGGCAGGGGGGGCTCTGTGCTGCTGCTGCTGGGGGCAGGGGGGGGCTCTGTGCCCCCTCGGGCAATGCAAAGGCAGCTGGTGCCAACCTTGAACTGCCCTGGGGTCCTGCAGACCCTCCTTTCCCTGTTCTCAGGTGGTCTGCTAGTTAGTGTTCTGGTGACCTGACACAGCCACTATGAAAATAGTTGGTGGGATTTTGGGGAACACTGGGAAGTTTTATTCACTCAGAGCTTCCAGAGAAGTAGATGCATCCTGGCACTGCTGTATGCAGGAACTTTTCCTGTTTGAGCAAGATAGTTGTCTATAGCTTACTGGGGTAAAATAACCCCATGTTTATCTGTAGTTTCAAGGAAACCAAGCTCCACACAAAGCTCATTATCTTTAGAGAGAGAAACCAGCTAGTGGGAGCTCAATTCTAGGCAAATGAACTGTCTGGCACTGCTGGTGATGCTTGTGTAACCAGGCAGCAAGTTTGCCAGTCTAAGTCTCTTCACTTTTGTAAATCTTTTCTCTGTCCTTCCAGGCAAAAGCAGGAAAGAGAACAGTTAATAAAGCAGTTGAGCCAGGTGGTGGGTATGGAGTTAATGGAAGAAGTAATAAAGGAGAGTCTACGAGAAGCTTCAACCCATGAGTTAAAGTAAGTACAACATGAACTGTGCTGTATTCATGGATGAGAATTTGTTGGGGAGTGGTGGGTCTCTCCTTGGCCTTCTTTGATGTCATCTGCAGCGAGCTGCTTTGAAGAGGGTAAGTGTGCTTGGTGGTACAGCAGGCTCCCAGTTTGAGGCTGCACTTTGTCAGGCAGTGGTGGTTCCCAGGGTGGAGGGAATAGATGCTTTGCCTAGAAAAAGGCTGCCCTGTGCCCTTCTTTTTATTCTGACTCCCTTACAGTTGTGGGCTCTTTTGTAGACCCTTCTGTGGAAGCCCACGACCAGTGTAGAACTGGAGTGGCTTCTGATTGATTACATTCCTTCTTTAGAATGGCCACAGAGTAACAGTGGGGAAGATCTAAATGTGAGGGTCTTCCCTGCTTGCACCTTAGCTAATTGTACTGGCATTTGCTGCAGTCTCCACCTCACCTGGAGGTCTTGGTTTGTTCCCTTTTGAACCAGATGTGCCTTAGAAAGAGACCGACAAGCCCGCATCGCCCGCTGCTCCGAAGAAGTCTGTGGTCATGTCATGGAGCTCTTTCTGGAGGATGAAATTTTCCAGAGTGCTAAGGAGACCCTTCAGGAGCTCCAGTGTTTCTGCAAGTACTTGCAGCGGTGAGTTTGCCACCCTGTGACACAGCTGCTTCTCTCAGCATTGGCAAGGAGTGGCCAGTGGGATGTGAACTACAGCTGTCTGCTCTGTTCTCTTTGCTGTCCTCTTGTCTCTGCTCTAAGTGGAGACTTGCAGTCTGATTACCAGCCTCTGAAGTGACTCAGGTGTATGTGGGGAGGGGAGCACACCTCATTAGAGTCAGGTGATGAGCTTGGTGGGATATTTCAGCTTTGTTCTATCTAAAAACTTATCAGGCTTTCTCCTTGTATTCTTGTTTCTCTGGGTATGAGCTAATTGCTCAGTGCTGGTTGTGCTCCAAGGCAGAACATTTCTCCCTGTGCTGCCCCAGTGCAGCCACGTTGGGGTGGCATTTCAGACTCCTGAAGAGGAAGCAGCAGGCTGGGCTCTTTTCTTTGGAGCCCTTGCAAAGCTTTCCTGTCCTTAGATTGAGCTTGTATGTCTCTTCAGGGTATGTGTAAGCAGCCTTCAGTGCAGCAGGGAGGGCTGAGGGGGAGCCTAGAGTGAAACAGGTGCACATGCAGCAGTCAAGCATATTGGATGATGCAGGAAGATTTTTATAAGCCCTGAAAATACCTGAGGAAACACAATAGAATATTTTTATTATGTGAATTGGCATTTTGGTGTTACAGCACTCTTGGGTGTCACCCGTTTGGTCATAGAAAATATACAAGCATCTAATGAGAAAGGCCTTGTTATATATTCACTCCTTGTTGGTGAATTTGCCTTTTTAAATGTTGCTTGAAAACAAGAAAAGGCATACCTTTCTTTCCTGGCTTCACTGGGATAGAATCAATGTTCTGTTGAGAAAAGCTGCATGTTTTTGGAAGCCTGGAGCACTCAGTGTGGTGGGAACCAAGTTGGTCAGACACTTTGTTCTGGTCTGTGGGCTTCCATGGTGATCAAGGTCCCGAGCAGTTAGGAGTTAGCTAGGTGCTAGGGCAGCTTGGCCCAAGCTGGCCAACAGGATTGCCCCCTCCCCTAAACAGCACCCTGGCTATTAATTGGGCATCTTGCTTGGGAGGGGTCTCTCTCCTCTGCAGCCCCCATCCCCAGAGGGTCTTGGCCATCCTCCTGCTCTCCCCTTTGCCCCCACCATGGTGTGCCTGCTGCAGGTGCTGTGCTCACAGGGTGTGACATCTGGCAGTGCACAGCTCACCACCACTGCAGGGTACTGATAATTTGCTTTTTATTAGCATTATTTTATTAAATCTGTTTCCATTTCAACCCATGGGTCTCCCTTCCTTTTCCTGGCTCCCATTCTTGGGTGGGGAGGGGTCACTGGGTGGTAGGACAGCTGACTAAACCAAGACACACTCTTTATGCAGTAGATGTTGCAAAAGTATTTTCAAGGGTTGCTTGAGGTGTCAGAAAAGCTTTATAAGGGATCATATGGAAAATGCCATAGGAACATTAGAAGACCTTTAAGATGGGGCTGGAAAGCTGTGCTTGAACTTCTGCCTGGTGAGCACAGGACAAGGCACAGCAGAGCTGAGGCAGGGATGAGATGGAAGAAGGGCAATCCTGCCTCCTCTCTCTGATCTGTGAGGCCACTGAGGGCAGGTGCACCCTTGGAAAGCAGGGGCTGCTCCTTTTTGTCTGCACTGTTTTGAAACAGGCACAAGGCTGCTCCTTTTGGATCCTTTGGATCCTTTTGGTCCTGTCACCTGCACCCACTGTTGGAGCTCTGCAGAGATACAGCCTGAGCCTGCTGCACCACCCACAGCCACCACCTCACACTGTCCTCTGGGCAGGCAGACCTGTGGGGTGCTGGAGGGCCCAGACCAGTCTGAAGAACAAAGATGAGAAAACCTGTTTGGCCTGCAGAGGGTTGATGAATGTGACCTGTTTGTCTGTTCTCTTCCCAAGGTGGAGGGAGGCGGTGGCAGCTCGAACAAAGTTGAAACGTCAAATGAGGGCATTTCCAGCTGCTCCCTCTTGCCCAGATCCAAAAAATAAACTGAAAGCACTCTCACCCAGTGCAGAGTGGCCTGTAGCCATGGAGAACTTGTGCAGGAGAATTGTAAACCTGGGGAATGGAGGAAAGCTGGGAGTCTCTTGTACAAGGTAAGGAGACTTCTAGTGACAGCAGTTGGCAACCTCGTTGGTTTTTGGGTGGTAGATGACAATGTAGCCTTTTTCCACTGTGAATGTCAGTGAGTTTGCAAAACTGTTCTTAAAATACTCCCAAAACGACCATTTCTGCACAAATGCCATCACAAAGGCTGAAAATCCAAATAAATCCTCCCCTCTATTACAGGCAACTTTCTGAAGTGTCTGCAGTACCTCTCATGTCTTCGTGTTCCTTACATTTTGTGAAAGTATCTGTTTTATACCAAAAATTACAACTAAAACCCTTTTGTTTCCAGATTGAACTGGCTGAGAAGCAAGACAGTGCATGAAATGAAAGTTCAGCACTTCTACCAGCGATTGTTAAGGTACTTTGGTGTTTGATCCTGGTTTTCTTTCTCAGCAAACTGTAACAGAAATGCTGGAGATCTCACAAATGTCAGTAAGGAAAGGCAAATGACACTCCAGAGCCCTCTTGCAGCCAAGATAAGGGAAACTGGGAGATGACTTCCTCAAAGAGCTGGGCCATCTGATCCTGTAGCTGTGGGTGTAACTTTTGAGGATCTAAAGGATATTATGGTGGTTTTTGTACCTGGGTGGGATGGGGCAGAGGGGGAGACGAGTAAGTGAGCTGTTCTGGCCTGGCTGGTGGCACAAAGGGATTGATCTAGATGTTTGAAGTGCAGCCAAGGGTCTGCCCTCTCCTTCATGGCTTGTCACACACTCTGGTGGCCTTTGTGTTCATCCTGAAGCAGAGAGGCAGTGAAGCACTAGGCAAGGGGTCCTGCAGGCCCCAGAGTCAGGCTCATGTGACAGATTTAGCAGCTGCAGTTCTTGAAAGCATCTGGTCTGTGGTGAAATAGATGGGCAACAGATCTAAGGAGTTAGCTCTAGTTTGGGGCTGTTGGAACTGGTCAGTAGCTACATAAAGTATTGTAACTTGTTCAAGAGCAAAAAAACCCCCAAACCATTTCCCAGGTGGGGTCTTCTTACCAGCTTCTGTCTCTCTTTAAGTGATTTAGCTTGGACTCCCCTGGATCTCATCTCACTGATCACTGAAAATATTCCAGTTCAACAAGAACAGGTTTTTTGGAAGGTGTTGTTGGTTTTGCCAAATGAAGATGAATATGGGGAGGATGATCCCAACAGGTGAGTGAAGGAGTTGATTGCTGGGCCCCTCTGTCAGGCAGGGTGGTCAAACAGAAGACCAGTAGCACACAGTCCTTGGTGTCTATTTTTCCTGTACCATGTCAAATTTCCAGTTGTTTATTTGGGTTTTTTTGACATGTTTTAGCACCAGCACCTCTAAAAACCTAAAATGCTATTTTTTTTTCTAAAACAAACACCCCAGAAGTCCACTCTTTCTTATTTGCTAGAATACTGGTGGATTGGTTGAAAGCCAAATTTATGGGAGACAAAAGCTGGAGGAAAACAGCTCCACATCCAGAAGGCAGAATTCAAACACTGACATTATTTCATGCTCCTGGCATGCAAGGGAGCAGGAGCATCCAAGTCAGTGTGTGTATCAAGGTAGGTGAGAACAGTTTTCTATTACCCAACAGGCCATAAAAGCAGGGTGGGCTCTCTTCTAGGGGATGTTATGCAGAGGCTTTTCAAACTGTGTACTGTCAGGTGGAGGGAGATGATACTGGGAGTAATGGAGTTGTTGAAAAGGTCTGAAAGAAGATGGAATTTTTTTCCTTGTCTTCAGCCAATGGAGTAAATACCTGCCTAGATACAGTGCAGGAGTTAGAATCTCAGTCATCTCAAGTCCTGATGGCAGATCAGGTGCTGAAGTGCATCCATTGGACACTCCCATACTTATCTAACAGCTTAGGGATTGCAGAGCTCCTGGTACCAAATGTCAAAGCTGAATAATAATAATAATAAACTGCAGGTTCCAGTATGAAAATAGGGTGGTTTGTTTTTGTCTTTAGCTATGTGACATTTTTTATCTTTGCATAGGTGGCACATGGTGTGCTCTCTGACTCTGAGCTTGACATGGCTGAGATGCAGAAGGACTTGCTTGGGACAAGTGGTCTCCTCCTTCTCCTGCCCCCTCGAGTTAGGAGTGAAGATGTTGCAGAAGATGATGTTTATTGGCTCTCAGCTTTGCTGCAGTTGAAACAGTTGCTTCAGGCCAAACCTTTCCACCCCATAGTTCCCCTGGTGGTTCTTGTCCCCAGCCAGGAAGAGGAGGCCATAGAGAAAGAAGTAGAAGAAGGTGTGTCAATAGTTCTGCACCCTGGGGAAAGAAATGAATGTTTAAGGGCTGCCCCAAGTAGAACTGCTGCAGTTAGTGCAGTCTCTAAAATGTGGCATCCAGTAAAGGGAGAGAGTGAAATACAGCACTGTTCAAAGCTTTGCTAGAAATCCAGAGGCCTTAAGAACTGATCAATATGGAGGAAAAAAAAAAATGACCTTTCCTTTGGCTTCCAGTTTTCCTGTGCACACAGAATCTCTGGGGAAGGATGGAGGAGAGCAGTGGTGCTGTGAACGTGTGCAGGGTGTGAGACTAGGTCAGAGGAGGAGATACCTGTTTGTTCTTTCTGTGTGTATATGACAGATGTTCTTATTTTTAAGGCTTGATGCTGCAGGATTTGATTTCAGCCCAGCTTATTTCAGATTACACCATTGTTGAGCTCCCAAGTTCCATCAATGACTTACAAGGCACCAGAAGGGTAAGAACAGCAACTCACATGAAGAGATATTTGACTGCACTGTCATTAACCTCTCAATCACTACTGCCTTATAGGAAATCATTATGTTCTCAGTAGCTTCAATTGCAGCTGAGTCTCATGTAATGGGATGTTCTTTCTGTCAAAGTTCCTGTAGGGCAACTGGTGTTCAAAAAGCTCTCTGACCATTTTTTGACTGAATTTGCTTAGTTGGGTACTTGCTTGTTCATAGTGATTCCAACATCACCCAGAACTATTCTGAAAGTATTTCTGCCACTGTCCCATTATTCATGACTGTTCTGTGTCACCTGACTAGAGATTAGTGGCATTTGCTACATAAAAATGAGTTTCTTCTGTGTGACACTGCAAACTGCACTGAGACCAGAATATGTGGATGGGGTAAATCCATCCGTGTCTCCTGCCTGCACTGAGGAGCAGAAGGGCTGTTGCTGCCCCACAGATGGGTGCTGGTGCTGGGCAAGCCTCTGCACCCTGGTGACCTGAAATACTATACATGTTCTAATACACCTTAATATTTACACACCCAGATTAACTCTTACTATCTAAGAGGGGAAGAGGAAGGAGGGATGTGCCCGATGCCCGTCCCGTATAGGGACATGGTTTGTGTGGAGGAAAGCCAGGGCAGGAACACCTTATGGAGGGAATGATCCCAAAATGCAATCCCTTACTTTATTCCTGAGATGGTCTAGGGGTATATATATATAAAGTGCAGATGACTTCCCCTGCAACTCAGTCTTAGAACCCACGGGTGGCGGGAAGAACCACGGCAGGTGGTTGGCAGCAGGCAGGACCCCCCCAAAGAGCAGGCAAACCCCTAAAAGGCAGGCAGCAGCAGCAGGTCCAGTGTCCCTCCAGAGAGCAGCCACAAGCAGCAGGCAGGCAGTTCCTTTGTGGCTCTCAGGGACTTGCTCCTTCATCCCCTGTTGGCCAGTCTCTTGTTCCTGGCTCTTCCCTGCCAATCAGGCAGGAACTTTCTTCCCATCCTGCTGCACCATCCCTGGGCAGACTTGCTGCCACTGCTCCTGTCTTGACAGCTGGTTGCTCCCTCATGGAGTCCAAGCTGATTTGTGGCAGAGGAGGCAAGCAGGCAGGAGGCTGTTTGAAGTACCTGAAGGAGCAGCTGTTTTACATCAGTTACGACTGCTGACCTAAAGGGCATTATTTTCCTGTGAGGAAAAGTCTGGTCCTTCACAACATCTAGAATAGTTTTTAAGTGTGGGTGTCGTAGCAGGGTGGATTGGAGAGGTGGGAAGGGATAATTGTCAAGCTGTTTCAGACTAAAAACAGGTCTAGCCCCACGTTCCCTTCTCATGGTGTTTGAAGAAGGTGAGAACAAGACAAGCCTGGAGTAGTGCTTCCCCCAGGACCCTCACAGGTTGCATCTCTCTGCATTCAGGTGCTGCCAGGATCAGACCTGGCTTCTCTGGATGCATCATGGACTTATTTCTGGTAATTTGGTTCCCAACCACCTCGCTGGGGAATTACAGTTGAAATACTGGGATGTTGCTGGTTGGTTTGTGTGTGTTTTGCTACCTAGTGTCTTGAATCTGTCACGTGCAACCTGAGGCTGCAGCACCGAATCCTTTGTGTCCTGATCCCTTGGGAGCAGTTCCCAACCACACGTGTTCTTGTGTGTTGCAGATTTCTGCAGCTGTGGGCTGGCTGGTGTCCCAGTGCCCTGCCTCCCTGGAGCTCTGCAGTCAGACCCTTCAGGAGTACGTTGAGGATGGGATTGATGGAGAGTTTGGGAAGCGCTTCTACCACGACTGGCAGGAGAGGCATTCAGCTGGCCTGCCATCCCAGGAGCCTGGGGCCATCATAGAGCTGTACAACAGCCTGCTGCAGTTCCTTTCAGAAGTGGCATCCTCAGAGCACCTCTGTGACTTGTCTTGGCCTGTTACTGAGTTTTCAGAGCCTGGGGGTAACAAGCTGTTGCCCCACCTGCAGTGGAACGTGCCTGATCATCTGGCCTGGCTGAAGAAGGCTGTGCTGTCCTTCCAGATCCCCTACCTTGATCTGCCTCCACTGGGAGGTATGTGCTTCATGCTGGGGTGTCCTTTGGGTGGCACCTCATGCTCTGCTGTGCCTGTGCTTTGTTGATCTAGCAGCCTCTCAGGTGGGTGGTTTGGCTCTGTCACAAATTCTAACCATTTCCTTTGGGTTTCTTTCCATAGCTCCCTGGCGCCCTGTTTGCCACATGATTTTTCAGTATGTGTCTCAGATTGCAAGTTCTTCCCAGACTCGACCACTGATCCAGTCCCAGGTGGAGAATCTGCTGAGCAAAACTTACCAGAAGTGGAAAAACAGGACATCTGCAAACTCTGATGAAGATGGGCCTTCTGTTGATGAGATCCCTTGGGATAATATCTTGGCAGTCTGTATTGATCATAAACTGAGAGACTGGAAACCACCCAAGCTGCCTCTTGCTCAAGGTATGACCTGTCCTTCTGCAACACATGGCAGGGAGGGAGCTGTGGTCTTGGTCTCCTCCTGTAGAATGACACTCTGCCTTCTGCACATCTTTCTGCTCCTTGGAGTATTTAGTGTTGATTATGACTTGAGCCTGTGATGAGAAATGTTGTCTCTGTGTGGAGGAACATGGTCAGTCTTTCAGCTTTCCTCTCCCAGTAGGAGAGGATTTATGCTCAGCCAGAGGCCAAGAATTGATCCCTCAGAAGTCATGTCAGCTGGGATGTCAGGCTGCCACTGTTAGTGAGCAGTTCCATGGTTCTGTTTGCTTTCAGTTCCAAATGTGTGGGGGGTTTTTTTGGTGCCCCATTTGGCTTAACTGCAGGGGTGCCTCTTCTCATTAAATGCCTGCTTAACCCCCTGAGTGTGGGTGCACCAGAATTTTTAAAATTAAGATGAATCAGGTTTTTACAGTCTTTCACTGGGATCTGTTGAACAGTAAATCAGCTCAAGGAGGCTCATTTTCACAGGCAAATTGCAACCTAAAGCCACTTGAAAGTTGAACACACAAATTTTTTCTCAAATGGGGTTTTTAATACTGAAGCTTCTCTTCTGAAGGGGAGGGTCTGTTCTAATAATAAACGTTGGGTCTGGGTTGATTCACAGAAGCAGTCAGTGAAGATGGTCAGATCCGTGTGTACTTCTTCAGGGAGCACCTAAAGAGCTTCACTCCCCCTTTCTCCTGGGAACAAGCCAGGCTGCGCACACAGGAGGGGATCCTGCTGGGCCAGGAGAGGTGAGGCAGCTGCTCCCACTGCCTGTGGGTCTGGCCTTCCCCTGGCTGCCACCAGGGGTGCTTGCTGAGCTCAGGGTTGCCCAGGGCCTCCCTGGTGGACACGCTGTGCAGTCCCCATGCTCATCCCAGCATAGGGCATCTTCCCAGGACAGCTCCCTGCAGTGAGGTGCAGAGGTGAGCTGGAGCAGGGTGGGGAGGAGATGTTATTTCTGCTGGGTGGCTTGGGAAGTGCTTAAAGTGGAGAAATTGACTTCTGCCAAAGAAAGTGCTGCTGGAGCCTTGGGAATGAGGCTTGTGCTCTAGGTACACAAAGCAGGGAGGAAGAACAGTGTGAGGTTGGGGAAGAGCATAGTGATAAATTGTGAGCCTGCCCTTGCTGTAACAGTGCCCCCTCCCTCCCACTCACCTTCAGCTGCAGCCTTTTGCAGGTGAGTTGCATGTTAGGTGATTTCCAGATTTACTCCTTGGATGTTGCATTTTAATTTTGCAGCATTTCAGGAGAAGGCTTTTGTCCCCAGCTTGTGGGAAGAGACCAGGAAAGTGCCATTGCTAAGAGCAAGTGCTGGAGGCTGAGGGGAGCTGTGTGGCATGAATGTATATGAGACATCAAGAGTCTAGCATGCTCCCCTAGCCTTGCTCAGAGTGAAGCCAGTCTCTCTTCCCTCATGGAAGCTTATATGCTGCTCTGCTGTGTCCCAGGAGATGCTGGGGTAGATCCCTTTCTTTGGGGTGAATCCCAGCCCTCTGTGTCAGATTTCTTCCTTCCCTGCTCAGCTGGTGTGTGTTTGACTCTGACACAAGGGAGTTACATCTCCAGATGATCAGTTCTCACTCCCTGCTATTTCTAAACTTCAAGCTAGTAGGGAAATACCAGCACTCTCATACCAGTTTCTGTACTTTTGTTGGGTTTTCTGGTTTTTTTCCTCCCCCCTCAGGTCAAGGGTAAAATCTCCAGACTCTTCTAAGAACCCCTGGAGTGTGTCCCTGCTGCCAGGGCAGTACAGCTGTGGCACGAGCATGCTGCCAGCTGCAGAGAGGAGCATTCCCAGTGCAGATGGACTCACAGACACAGCCTCAGCCCAGGAGCTCCTCCCAGAACGACTGTTGGCACAGCTGAAACTGGAGAAAACAGAAAGCAGGAGGTAAATTCCCAGAGCAGCCTCCTTTCCTTGCAGCTCCAGGGCTGTAAACAATTTCTAACGTGTGTGTAATGGGGAGCTGAAGAACAGCAGTGCCAGGAGACAGCCCAGACTATCTTCAGCTTCATCAGTGTAGTTTCATTCTGCCTCCTACTTGCATCACAGGGTGGTAGAAGTGCTTGGAGCTTGGAGGAGCAGCTGGAAGCTGGCTGAGGTCAGCCAAGCCAGCAGCACTGAAGCAGTGCAGTGTGTGCTGCTGTCTGTGTGCACTGCAGTGCCACACATGTGTGCAAAGTCCTCCTTGGGATGTCAGCTCAATGACTGTAGTGATGTAGACCACAAAGCTGAAGAACTAAGGCTTCTGAGGTTGGACCAAGGGTTTCCTGTCTTTGGTGCCTTCCCCATCACTTGGGTGTCCTCAGCCTGTGGCTCCTTTCTGTGTCACAATGTTCTATGATGGATTATCATCATAGTGGTGGGGTATGTCAGACAGTGTTGGAAACAACTGTGAATGCCAGATCCTTCTTTCAGACACTTCTGAACCCCAAACCCTTAACACAGGGGTTGCAAGAACAAAGCCAGGCTGCAGCCTGAATGGTGCTCTTGGTCTCTCTGCCCAGGTTTGAAGAACAGCTGCACCAATGGCTAGCTGAGGACATGAAGCCCCTTGGTGATTTTGTAGGTCTTCCTCTCTACCTCCCCCAGTCTCTGCTTCCCACCACAACTGTCACCTCTCCATTGGTGAAGAGTCCCACATCAGCTGCTCAAGAGGTGAGGAAGGGTGGTACTGAAAAGTGGCTGCAGCTCTGAGGAGTGCAGGTGCCAAACCTGCCACAGTTGCAGAGCCTTTAGTGGGAGTTCCCTTGGTGTGCAGTGTTGGATAGACTTGGGAAGTAAAGCACTGGAAAACCACACCTTGGGAATGTCCAGGGAAGGCAGTGCTTTCTGCAGAGCTGCAGTGAGGGCTCTTCAGTGGTGCTACTGCTCCCTGCAGTCAGGACAGTTTCCCTTGGGGTGCTGCACTTCAGCTTCAGTCATCACAGCTGAAGGCTGGTGTAGAAACAGCAGAACGTGCAGCTTTTGCCTTGCCTCCTCAGGGCTGGAGGGTGCTGACCTCCCTGGTTGTTTTCAGAAGTAGGGGAAGAGCTGGGAAGCTCCTTTTTGGTTCTGGGTAACTCTTGTTCCTGAGTCTCCTCTCTTTTCCCCCTAGCAGGCTGAGAGTCAGGAAGGATGCAGGATCCTGGCCAAGGAGCTCAGCCCCGCGCTGTCAGACAGACTGAAGTACTTGCAGCAGCTCCTCAGAGCCAACAGGGAGGGTGAAACTGCTTCTGAGCTCCACCTGTCTGCTCTGGTGGACATGGTGGACATTTGAGCAGAGCTGAGACACTTGTGCAGACCAGGAAGTGGTAAAGAAATCCAAGGTGAGGTGGTTGAACAGTTCAGCTCCTGGGGCACATGGGAGAAGACCACAGAGCAGACAAGGGGCCTGGGCCCTTCTGGAGTGGCTGCCTTGCCCACAGGTGGTGTTGGGGCTCACCATGTCCCTCTGGCTCCTTGTGGAGCTTTGGCTGCTCTGGGATTCTTCTGCTTCACAGGCACAGACAGATCAAATGCTTTCTTGGAAGGACTTAACACTCGGGTGACTTTTCTGTCTACCAGCTCTCCCTGTTGGCAAACACAGCTTCACCAGGAGGAAGCTGTGGCCCCTGGGGACACCAGAGCAATTTCTCTCCATAGTCACAGTCAGGTCACAACATCAAGATGTTGTCTCAGCTCTGTACTTGCCTCCTTGCAGCAGCACCGTGGTGTGAAGTTGCTCTCCTGCTGCCCAGGAATGTCAGGGCTGCCATTCTCCAGCTGGTGCAACACTTGGCTGTGTTTTACATTTAAAGTCCAGAAGCTTTTTGTGCTGCTGGGCCCAAGTTTTGTTCTGTTGAATTGATGGCATTAAAACCAGGTGAGTTGCTTATTCCACAGAGTGACTGTCATGTTGGAAAGAATGTGAACAGCTGTGGAGAAAGGAATTTCCTTTTGTGGAAGAGCTGAATACCTCCATTCCCCAGTATTTAAGAAGCTGTGGCTTTGGTCATTGAAGACCTTTTGGTTTGATTCCCAGTAGGTGGTAGGAAGATGTGCTTCATGTCTGCAGTGCTCCTGTACCAACACTGCTTTGGTTGCAATGTCAGCAGGTTTTTCTCAGGCAGAAGAAGGTGAAGAAGAGATTCCTGCAGCTCTGGGGGTAAATGCTGGTTGCCTTGCCTGCCAGAGACCAGCTCTGACTGGCTTCTGATTTCATTTGAAATCCTCAGCAGTCCAAACCTGGCAGCTGCCTTCACAGACAGTCATGTTATAGCTGAGGGGGTTGTTTATTTTTAAGTAGCAGTTGTATTATTTCTCTTAAGCTAACGTGGTTATTCTAGGTTTAATAGTAAGGTGAAGTAAGAAGTGTAAACTGAAGACATGAGACTTTGAGGCTTGGGTGGGGCTGAGGGGTGTTACCCTGTGATGCTCTACCCTTCCCTGCTCATCTTTACCTGGAAGTGGCTGGTATGAAACCCCCCTGCTGTGGGGTCACACCATCTGCTGTAACTCTGTACCTAATAAACTGTTGGTGGCTTCACTTGTGCTGTCACCTGGTTGCTGTGCAGGGGGTGGGCTCAGCTGGGGGAGGGGGCTCAGCTGCACAGGGGGACACGCAGGGTTTGGCAGGGGAAGCAGCCCAGCCTGGTGCTCACCTGCCCTGCCCATCACTGGGTGCTTTGGCTCCTGCACAGGGGGTTGGCTGTGCCTGCTGGTGCTCTGAACTCTTAAAATCATGTTTCTGTGAGCCCTGTGAGCACCCCAGAGAGAAGATGCTGCTGGGTGGGTTTCCACAGTGACCAAGGTGGGGGTCCAGCTCTCGACCAGGCAGGTCCCACCTGTCCAAGCCCTGCCAGGTGAGCAGGGGGTTGGCTCAGCTGGGGGAGGGGGCTCAGCTGCACAGGGGGACACACAGGGTTTGGCAGAGGCTCTGCA